GCATTTAAAAGAGAATTACGTCAACACAGATACGGCGAGCTCTCTCCATAGGGGTCACTGTTGGGTCGAGCACTCTGTGGTATTTAGCTTTCTCGTTTTAGAAAGGGATACTCGTCCTATAATTCCAGGAAACGAAAAGAAAATTGTTCAAAAATAGCGAAAAATAGAAGAATAAAAGGAATGTTCCGATACGCGTGATCCTTTTTTTTTTTTGTTCGAGGGTTTAAAATTCTTAAGAAACAACAAAACTCAAAATTCTTTTGGAAACTTAAATTTTTTTAAAAATTTATATATTGAACTTTAATTTTATAGAAAAATTTATATTGCCTAAAAAATTACCATTTCATAAAGGTTGGCGGTTGAAAGTTATAATGATATTTTAATTGTTAAGTTTTAAGGTGTCAAGGGTTCATCTTTTAACTATATATAAAAAGATTAAATTTAATTTATTTTAAATTTTATTTTATTTAATTATTTATTAATAACAAATAAAGTTTTATAAATTCTTTTAAATTTTTTATATGTAGGATCTTAAATATTTATAAACTATTCCACATAAATTATTAAGATTGAGAAAATCTGGAAGCTAGTGAAGTGGAATTCGAAGTGTGGAACCAGGAGTCCGTTTTGATGTAGTTTTTTAAGTGTTTTTTTATATTATTTATATTTCATAAGTTTAAATTTTTTTAAAAAAACTTATATTTTTAAATATTTTTTTAACTTTAAAAAACTCTAAATAGTAAAAATCAAAAACTTCAAATTCAACTTTTTCATAAATTTTATTTTTACTCACTTTATACTTTTTTTATCTCTAAAAGTAACTTTTAAACTTTTTCTATAATAAAAATTTAAATTTATCACTCATAAACAATATCAAAAAAGTAAAAACTCCAATAAATTGAAATATGTTTAAGACTAGGGTTGTAACAATTTCTTCATATCCTCAGTCAAGGGACTGTATGGAGGGCTTTTTTCCCCGAAAATTAAATTAATTTATATGGGGTTCTAAAAACAATTAATACTCTTCTTCTACATTTTCACCTTAATTTTATACTACAATTTTATCATAGAATAGGTATTTTATTCTATCAAATCAACCATTGTACTAATAAGTTGTTAAAATAATTTTTTAGGGAGAAAAAAAAACATAATTTTTATATATAATTAATACACATTCATTAATTCGATAATATATTACCTATTTCATACGTTAAGTTGTTAACAATTAAAAAGAAAAAGGAAAAAAGAAAAAAAGAAAGAAAGAAAGAAAGAAAAAATACAAACTTACCTCTTATCATATAACTACAAGAAATTATGAATGACTCTCTCCACTTCTTCTATGGTAATCAATTCAAGCAATTTATACGTTTGATGGTACTTAAATACAAAACCATTTTCTCCCAGTCAACAAAATGCTTGAAATTGAAACCACAGACACCGTACCTTGCAACTTTAATAAATCCAATCAAATGTTCCCCACCATATCCAGGTGAAAGCATGCATTTACCCCATCACTTTAATGAATTTAAAATTTTTAATCTTTCAACTTATATCATGAAATTTTTAGTTTTTAAATTTAAAAGTTTAAAGATTTTAACTCTTAAGTTAACAAAATCTGTTAACTTTTATCTAAAATGAGAATAAAATATTTATAGAATTAGTGCTCAAAGATTAAAAATATAATAAATTAATTATAAAAATTAAAAAATTAAAAAAATTAATAAATTGAATATAATTAATGGATTACTTTATCACATATACAAAATTATTATTAAATATCTACAATCAAATTGAGTGACTAACTCAATCTAAAGAAAGAAATTTGATTGACATTAAAGAAAATTTCTTCGTTATATTCTTGTGATCTTTTAAAATTTTTATATTAACTCAACAAAATAATCTTTTTAATCTCACTTACAATTCATTCTTCAAATTAAACTAATCACTTGATTTGATTATAGATATTTAATACTGTTCTAATATACGTAAAAAAATTAGCTAATAATTCTTTTTAGTTTGCTAATTTTTTTAATTTTTAAACTTTTAAAACTAAACTGTTACATTTTAAATCTTTAAAGATCGATTTTATAAATATTTTATTATCATTTCAACAAAGAGCTAATGAATTTTGTTAGTTTAACAATTAAAATTTTCAAAATTTTAAATTTAAAGGCTAAAAATTTCATAATATAAGGGATTAATAACTTCAAACTTAATAAGATAAAAGGCTAAATATACAAAATGATTAAAATTGAAAACCACACATGTACCTAACCTTAATAAACCCAATTGGCCTTAAACATTCGATGTGATTGTATGAATTTTATTTGAAACCACACATTATACCTAACTTTAATAAACCCAATCCATTATCCCCCAGCATATACAAAATGCTTGAAATTGAAACCACACACATACCTATCCTTAATAAACCCAGTTGGCCTTAAATATTAGATGTGACTGTATGAATTTTATTTGAAACCACACAACATACTTAACTTTAATAAACCCAATCCATTGTCCCTAAGCATATACAAAACGCTTAAAATTGAAACCACAGACGTCCCTAACCTTAAAAAACCCAATTGGTTAATACTGTTTTAGTATACATGAGAAAGCTATCTATTAATTCTTTTTAGTTTACTAATTTATTTTGTTAATTTTTATACTTTTAAAACTAAACTGTTATATTTTAAATTTTTAAAGATTAATAATGTAAATATTTTATTATCACTTCAATAGAGAGTTAACGGATTCCGTTAGTTTAAAAGTTAAAATTTTTAAATATTTAAATTTAAGAACTAAAAATTTCATAATATAAGGAATTAAAAACTTTAAATTTAATAAAGTAAAAAATTAAATGCACATTAATTACATAGACAAAATGATTGAAATTGAAAACCACACATCTACCTAACCTTAACAAACCCAATTAGCCCTTAAACATTTGATGTGACTGTATGAATGATATTTAAAACCACACATTATTCCTAACTTTAATAAACCGAGTCCATTTTTCCCCGACACATACAAAATGCTTGAAATTGAAACCAAACACGTATCTAACCTTAACAAACCCAATTGGCCTTGAGCATTAATTAGATGTGACTACGAATTTTATTTGAAACCACACAATGTACTTAACTTTAATAAACCCAATCCATTGTCCCTAAGCATATACAAAATGCTTAAAATTGAAACCACACACATCCCTAACCTTAAAAAACCTAATTAGCCTTAAACATTAGATGTAATTGTACGAACTTTATTTAAAACCACACACTGTAACTAACTTTAATAAACCCAATCCATTGTCCCCTAACATATACAAAATGCTTGAAATTGAAACCACATACGTAACTAACCTTAACAAACCCAATTGAGCTTGAATATTTAAAATAAAACTTTTAAAGAGTGATAATTAGTGTAGAAAGTCGCCCGTTTAAATGCAAATAAATGGGAAAAAGGATAACATGATGTCTACTGTAGTCATTTTGGCCAATTTCCAGAGACCCCCTCTTTTTTTTTTTTTCCCCTAAGAATTATATTAGAGGGACAATTAAAAAATGAACTCTTTAACGAGGCAAACTTGTATATTGTATTCAGTACATGCTGTTTGCGCTAGTCCTCATTGATAATCATAATTCAAGTAATTGTTTTGCAATTTGCATGCAGAAATGGGATGAGAGTAAGCAATGGTAAATGAAAATTTGAGTTTTCGAATAATATTAATTCACCATATTGGTTTGCTATATGTGCATTTAGTCTCCCTTTTTCGGGTCAACATCTGCATGTAAAGTCTGATGTCTTACTTTTCTTCAGGAAATACGGATTCCTGGCACTATATATTGGCGCTAATGGTCTGCACAATTTCATTGGGCATCAATCTTCTTCGAGGATAATACCGCGTTGTCTGAAGAACCTGGTTTGCTCCTTGACCTTTTATCCTTCCTGTAGTAGTTTTAGTCTTTAACTTTTGCGTAAAGTCTTTCATGTGGAGAAATGCAACTATGAGCAAGTCTTTCACAACTGTCTTTCATATTGGACTTTAAACTTTGCTTTGTGTGGCTCTTTTGTGAGGAATGTTTGAATTTTTGAATGGAAGACACATAATAATTAAGAAATATGGCTCAAGTTCCCAATGAGCCAAGATAATATATTGTTATCCCTGTATAGGTGCTAGGGTTTGAAATTGTTGCTGCTTTATAGATTTTCAAATCCTCCAAACTAAACTCGAGGTAATTTGTTATGATAATGATATGATTATATCACATAGATAATAAATTTTTAAAATTAATATTTTATTAAATGAATAATTTTTTTTTTTTTTT